TTTATTATGAAACCTCTAATATTATACTACGATTACAACAGATTCTGTAATAGATATATGAAATATGAGTTGTTTATGAAATTAATTTAATTAATTCTGTGACTGATTCTTATGGAAATCCTTAATATAATACCTGTTCACTGTTACTATGAACTTCATATAACCAAGAATTTAATTATTTTTCAATTTATATTTTATATGTTTAAATGTTGAATTAATAACTTATAAATGTCAGGATTTACGTTAGTTTCTACAATTTAATTAATTATTTTTTAATAGAAAGTTATATCAATTTAAAATTTAATGATTATTAAGTTACAGTATTTAGATAAAATTTAAAATAGAAATAAAAGTGTCTTAATTATATATTTAGTTAAAATGAATAAATAAAATTTTACAATAAAATAGTAATTATTTGATTTTGTACATTTGTATTGTACTAAATTGCGTTGGTGCACTATTTGTAATACTGTACATTATGTACTGTATTTAAAAATAAATATTATAAAATCTATATGATACTATCTACAATATAAATATAATAATTTTGTAAAATTTATTGCAATTTTGTTGTATTACTTGTGATAAAATAGCCATAAAATCAAATAATAAGTTCATGATAATCGCAAGATTATTATGATTAACACACTCGTTATCTCTTCAAAATTATTTTTGTACATTATAATAATACTGTACATTAAAATTTATAAAATAAAAATTTATATATTTTTAAGTATATTTACAAATTTTTAAAATTAATCTATTAATATTACAAATTATAGTTTATGTCCGGCGCTGTTAGTTATATCGAGAACACTAAGGCTTTCACACAATATAGCCGTGAGTTGAACATTGTAAATTTACAATACTTCACAATATGGAGTTTACATAATTGAAACTGATATATAAAATAATACAATTAATAAACCATTGATTGAAAGGGCGTCACATTCTTAGCGTTTGGAAATGGAGCCCCAGATATATTCTCATCCATAGCTGCCATACGACAATCCAACCCACAGCTTGTAGTCGGGGAACTCTATGGTAATGATTTTCATATGAGAAAGGTTTATACGAAATAATCACAATCCAATGAATGATAATCGAAGATCAAATATCAATAGTCATAGGAATCATACACTAAAAACAGATTCATCATATCTGATCTTTTAAAATAAAACCCGGATTATATATAGGCTATGAATTGAAAGATTTTTCATTGGTTTCAATGGAAAATCTTCCAATTCATAGCCTATATATAATCCGGGTTTTATTTTGAAAGATCAGATATATTAACAGTCACTTTGATTGTGATTATTTTGTACAAACCTAAGTCATATTTAATATTTTATACATACCATCATAAATACATATAACCTAACAACTCCCTGATTAATAGGCGCCGGTATATTTGTAACAACAGTGGTGGCCGGTACTATATTTATATTATCGGACTTCAAGCCAATGGCGCGACCACTTTGTCGTGATATAGTGTTTTACATAGTGACCACATTTATAGTATGGCTCACATTCTTAGGCGGATCCATTAAGATGTCCCACTCGATTGCATTCATTTGTATCTATTTATTTTACATCATAACAGTCGTCGGCTCCGGTATTATATATACTAAATATTTAAACAAAAAGAAACCAGATCAATCCACTGACGAACCCCCGACGGAGAGTATGTCCAATTCATGCGTTTATATCTAATTTATCATTAATTTTGTAATAATCTTCCGGTGCTATCAGTGCCGGGACGAGTGAAAAAACTGGTCTTCTCGCGCACATACTTCGGTCAGACGTCTAAAACAAAACGGCCGTCCATTAAGGACATGGAGGACGACAATTACGAAGGGGTTGTCTTAAGAAGTAATAAATAAAAGATTGTTTGGCAGAAGTAGTGCTAAATTGTTATATTAATTTAGGGATAAAGTTTCGTGATATCGGGGTCACATCACCGCAAAGGAGACGTACCCTCTCTAACATCCATCAGCCCTTCCAGAACGGCGGTCATCGCAAGAGTACAGTGTTCTCGGTCTCCAAGTCTGAGCAAAGCGATGAATATGTGGGCCGTCAGTATCGGAGTCAGTATTTTAAATCTTATATTCATTACTTTAAGCAACTAATCAACTGTATGGACAGGTAATACCATATCCGACGTATCATTCCCGAGCCATTCACCGGTTGTGGGCGAGAAAAAGCACACACTTTTGTTGCACCAGTTGAGCAAAATTAGTCTTAACAGCATTTGGTCATCAAAATCCACAGTTTTAGTAATGAATGATTGGCACGAGTTTTTGCAACAAATCTGTCCAATCGATTGGAAAACTTTCAAAACAGATCCCATTTATTTCAAAATATTTGCCATCTTTAAGGTTGTCATTACTATTAATGCATTTATTGTATATGTTTTGTTTGATTGTTTCAATTGTCACATAAGGCTCCCATTTATTTCATTCTAACCATTACTACACCCGTTGTGGACGAAGACAGTGAACGCAATAATTGGTGTAAAATATTGAATACTTTGCACATTATTATTAGTCCACAGGCTTTCCTATTCATCACAGAAAGTATGACATAAATATGAATTAAATTTAAAATTATCTTAATAGTTTAGATTAGCTATTATAAGCTATAATTATGCTTAATAATATTTTTAAAACTTGATTGCAAAATCATAATGCTAACTTATTATGTTTGTTCAGTGACTCTATTGATTATAAGTTACAATAATACTGTACCTGTATTTCTACCGAAAATATGTTTACAATTGATTGCGTTTATTATCCAAACAAGTGTCAAACGACCAAAACTATGTGATGGAGGGCATAGTCCTTGCCGTGTCGTTTGTGGTGGCACTGGTAGTCTTTTTCACATCGGAGACCGAGAAGCCACCGGTCTATCACTGGGCGTTTGCATACTTTGGTTTCATAGTCTCCGTGTCCTGGATCTACGCCCTGGCCAACGAAGTGGTCGACCTCCTGACCGCAGTCGGCATTATCTTCGGTTTGAGTCACTTATTGCTGGGCCTGACTGTCCTCGCCTGGGGTAACAGTGTTGGAGGTATTATGAGATGCCATCGAATTAAGGATCAGTTGTAATCAATTGTTTGCAAATCTATTGTCAGACTTCATATCCAACATAAGTATGGCTCGCAATGGATTCCCACGAATGGGTATCTCTGCTTGTTTTGGTGGACCTGTCCTCAGTAAATATGACACCAAATATTTAATTAATTACAGATTAGAAGAGTTTTGTGTATTCCAGATATGTTACTAGGAATTGGTATTCCCTATACTGTACGGCTCAGTAGCGGCGGAACCGTTAATGTAAGTATCAATTGTATAATAAGAAACAAAAAATTAATTCAAGCTAAACGTGAATATAAATTGCTGATTTATTTGATTGATGATTAGTTGATATATTCAAAAATGGTTACTCTATTATACTCGACCATAACGTTGAGTTTGGGCTCAACGCTACTTATAATGCTAGTGACGAGATTCAAGGCGACTAAACTGCACGGAATATATTTGATTTGTATATTCTTCTCATTCCTAACACTCGCCTGTCTTATTGAATGGCATATCATTTGATTCATTCAATGGCTGTATTGTACATATCATCCGTTCAATGGTTTTACTTTAAGTTATATTATTTTAACTTGTTAATCTATGTCATCTATATCATCTCATTAAATTTAATTCCTTGTATAATAAAGCATAGATAGAGCTATTTTTTAATAATACAAATATTTAAGTACAAGTGCAGCAAATGGTTTTAATTTTTGTATCTGACAAATAGTTTATTATTAATAAAAAGAAATTTAATTTTAAATGTATTATAAATTTAATATTATTTATATCTATACACTGTTATAAATATGCAAAATTTATTATTATATTTAAAATAAATCAACAATTTTTGCGATGTAATTGAAGTAATTATTGGATAATAAGAAATTTATTATAAATAAAAAATCAATGATTTGATATTAGTATATAATTCATAGAAATATTTTACATCAAGTGCATTGAGTTTGTTTATTAAAACTGAATTTTTTGTTTAAAATTATCGTGTTTACTAGTGTTATCAAATTTTAACCTACCGCGATAAAAGTCTCATTCAAATTAAATACATACTTTTAATATGATTTGAACGTGATTAGCTTTTTATCACTAGACTTAATGGACTTTTAACTTAACAAAATGAGTTGAGTAGATTTTATAACACACTGTATGCCGTATATTATATAATGACCTACCTCATATGATATAATTTATTGTATAGAAATTAGGGAAATTTGCTTAATTATTTATAATACTTATTATATTAAGTTATATTGATGGTATACAATAAGTACCTTGTTACGTTATGTATCTAAGCTATGCTAACTAAACAAAAAATTATATACTCAATGGCAAATCAGCAAATCGGGATATTTTAAATAACAAATGTTTGAAGTTCAATATAATAGTTGATTTTACAAGTCCTCGATGTTCTAAGATATCCTTGAATTTAATTTGATTATTGATAAGTAATTACAGTTATGTATATAAAGTCACAACACTTTCCCAATTCTTTCATTTATACAAATTCATATTTTGTATTTTAATCACATTTATTCAACACTACTGTATATTCCAACCACAATAATGTTTGAAACATTGGAATTATTATTTCACTATTCCTTTATCAAATGGTCACTTATATTGACCACGTGTTTGTTAGTTACAGTGTATTCAATCTATAGGTATTTTTGCAAGTTTTAATTTTTTAGTATCATATTAATTTGTACACTTTCCGATAGATATATCAATTCAAAATGCAATTATTGGGAAACACAAGGCGTGAAGTCGGCGAGTGTTAGCTATTACACGAGATTCACGAAACAGTGGTACGAATGGGAACAGGAGTTGTATCGCAAAAATGGCAAAATTTTCGGGATCTATGAAATCACAAAACCGGTGCTCTTTCTATCGGACCCGGAGCTCATTCGCGACGTTTTGGTCAAAGATTTTCATATATTTAACAACCGAAGAGTAAATAGCAATTAAAATAATGTTTTACACGTTTTTAACATAATATTCGTTATGTCCCTCAAAAGGACTTCCGGACGGGTGGCGACCCATTGGTGGACAATATGGTTAGTGTCGTGAGAGACGATCAGTGGAAGAAGATCCGGTCCATAATGTCTCCCACTTTCTCGACGGGAAAGCTGAAGAAGATGATGCCATTGATCGTTGAATGTCGTAATACAATGATTGGTAATCTGGAAAAGATCGCCAAAAGTAGCAAACAGGCGGATATGAAGAAGTTGTTTGGCGCCTATGCCATGGAAGTGGTCATTCAAGTGGCGTTTGGCACGAAAGTGGACGCACTCATCGACGAGAATAACCCCATTATAACCAATGCCCGTAAAATGTTTGGCAAAGACTTTAGCCCTAAAATACTGGTCGCTATATTAGCCCCTAAATTGGCCCGATTTCTCAAGATTTCAGTGTTTGACTTAAATATCACGAAATTCTTTAAAGACTTTACACTTCAGATCATTGAAGAGCGAAAGGCTAACAAAAATACGGCTAAAAGAGTAGACTTTTTGCAACTAATGTTGGATTCAATGCAAAACAATAACACATTCAATGATGAAGAAGAAGTGGACGACAAGAATAAAGAGAAATACAAAGAAATTCAGGCCAACGAAGGAATGGACAAAAGTATGCATTCAATGACTAATCAAATGCTAAATAAATTAAATTTAATTAAATTGATTGATATATTGCTATCTGTGGACAGCTCTGACCAATGATGAACTCATAGCTCAATGTGTTTTGTTTTTCCTGGCTGGTTATGAGACCTCAGCCACTACTATGGCGTTATGTCTCTATAATATCGCCAAACATCCAGAAGTGCAACAAAAACTATATCTCGAGTCCAAGAGATACTACGAGGAATTCGTATGAGACATATATAAATCAATTTATTTGTATATTATTGCAACAAATGTCTCTAATATGACAGAAAGGCGTTGATTACGATGTATTGCATTCATTGAAATACTTGGATGCAGTCATTCAGGAAACCCAACGACTATTTCCTGCGGCTGTCTTTCTCGAGAGGGTTCCCAATCAGGACTACGAGCTGAGAGGGACAGGCATTACCATCAAAAAGGACGATATCGTCCACATTCCCACGTATTCCATCCACAGAGACCCGGAACACTTTGTCGACCCGGAAGTGTTTAGACCGGAAAGGTTTTTGGCGGACAATATATCACACCATCCGTACGCGTATTTGCCGTTTGGCGCCGGCCCTCGAAATTGCATCGGAATGAGATTGGCTCAGATGGAGATCAAGTTGGCCCTCATCAGTGTTGTCCACCAATTTCGGTTCTACCCGTCAGAGGTTTGGTTCAATGCATTCATCGCTTTACTTCAATACAATCTAAACTCATTTATTTTGTAGAAACCATTGGAGTATTTCTTCACCGGAGGGCTCATTGTCCCCAAAGCTGTGGACGTGAGGGTCGAGAGACGGGCTTAATATCAATCATACACTTCATTAAACATTATACCCGTATATTAGTTGTCAGCATATATTTAGTAATTTAAACAAGCAACAATTCTGTAAGTTATTCTTTGATAAAGTTGAGAATACTAACAAATAGAGTGCGCTTTCTACAGTGTATATCATAGTAAATCAACATGTTCATTTACTATACAAATACAAGATTCTATAAACAGAATTACTGTTAACAGTAATATACTGTAATATTTATAACATTTCTAATGGATTAAATATTGAATAATAAATGATTTGTTAATCTTTTTTATATTGCATTGTTTAAATAAACAACAAATTTGTTTTATTTTATGCATGTTTTTATTGTCATTGTCTTATATCTAATGGTTATGTGGAGTCTCAATAGAGTTGAGCACAAGTTCTTAAGTTTTATTTTATGCTGTTTTTAGTGGTCACTACTTGAACGCAAAAATAGCGCATTTAATTAACAAAAGCTTTTCTTATTTGACGTTAAAGTCTTATGAGACCCACAAAAACATATGATAAAATAAAAGGCAACTATCGGTCAGAGAGAGAGAGAGAGAGAGAGAGAGAGAGAGAGAGAGAGAATTGTTGTAATAGTTTGGAAAAACACAAAGAGATTTATATAAGAAAATAATTGAGCGCTGATTTAATTTGTTTCATATTTTGCTTACAATTATTATGTGAGACATGATATATAGAGAGTGTAATCGATATCTAAAGTAATCATAATTGGATTCCAAGTGTACGGTATCTGCAATTGAATGCACTGTCTGTTTGTGTACTCATTAATAACTCGTACATCATATCCAAAGACTCAATCAATAAGTATTTTGTTGACAACAGTGACAAAAATATTATGATAAAGAATTTACAGAATAATATAAATAATTCTTTAAATCAGTGACTTCTGTTAAATTCTATACATATATTTATTACTCTATATCCAGTAAAATACACTATAATTAAATTTAAAAGCTCTTAATCCTATAATATTACTAATAAAATGTTTTTACTCCTCCTAATTAAATTTCGTTTGAATTATAATAACGTTATATATATATTGAATAAACTGATTATGATATTAATAATTTAGCAATATTTTCAGTAAAAGTATTAAAAACAAAACTTAGTTTCCAAGAAAACTCATTATAAATTTGAGATGAAAAGCTACTTAAATACAAGATCGCATTAATATTACAAAACATCTCTTTTTATAAAAGCAACAAAGACTTGAAACCAAAAAACTAAATAAACTTTTTTGTAAGCTGTAGTCAATGGTTAAATTATACATCACTTCATTAATTTGCAAAGCTTGATTAATTATTAAACAATTAAAAATATATATTTAAAAATTTATAATGATATTATTCATAGTACTGTACATTATAATTTACATAAAATTCATTTGTTAAACATTTTTCGTTAAATAAATGCTATTTATTGAATCTAATTTTGGTTAGAGAGAGAGAGAGAGAGAGAGAGAGAGAGCTGCTAAATGTGTGTTAACTTAATTAACTGTAAAATGTAAAATAATTTTTAAAATTAATTAAATAAAATAAAAAATACGTTAATTAATTAAATTTATTTTTAATGACTCATTTTTACATTTTAATAAAATTTTGTATTACATATACAAGATCATTTTTTTACTTAACGCTACAAATATACCAAAATAACCCAAAAAGCAGTGCAAACCTTAGACCCCTTAGTGCACAAGGAAATCCATAAAAGTTATCGTGGCAGGTAATATTAATAGTTTTGTATTTCATTTAGCCTATGTACAGTTTATGCATATTGAATGTCAATAAACATTAATAAATCTGGGCATATATAGTGCATTTTTGCAATAGTCTTATATTGCATTATATCAATGCTTTAAAAGTAAAATTTTTTATAGTCATTAAACACATACTGGTTATAACACTAAATTGTCAAAATGATTTATAAAATATCATTTTTGGTTATAGGTGGGTAATTAAAAATATGTTTAATGTACTGTAAGTATATATTTCTAAAAAATTATTTTTTTTGTATTCACAAATAGTTAGCATAATGTTTTGTAGCGGCAATGTCAATGCTCAAGGTTTTTATGGAAACATTATCAAAAATGTGAACATGGTAATTATTATTTTTACATTCATAGGTAAACAGTTGTTTTTGGAATCGGTAGCATATACGTGCAGTGGAAAGGGTGGCATCAAAAGTTACAACCATTTGTCGACCTACTCCCGTGACCAGGCTTGTAGTCCGGCTAGTGAGGCAGCTATTAGCGATAACCTAGTATATTTCGATGGCCTGGGTAATAGATCTGTTAGTACATTGATGGAGCTAGCAAGTAGCCACTACCCTGCTGAATCTGGTATTATAATCTATAATTTATCCAAACAGATACAAATTTTATAGTATTAATCTAGTTTCTATCATTTTAAATACTGCCTTATTGTATAGGGATGGTACGTTATGAAGATTTATACCTGGCTACAACTGGACCGTTAGAAGGCAAATATATATATATAAAAGTGGTGAACTTGGATGAGGCCAATTTGAAAAAGTGTTCATCTGGCCTTGCTTATTCATATATACCCACACAGTCAGCCGAATTGATTGTCAGTGATATATTGGACCTCAATGTATTGATAAGCCCTACCGGTG